AACCATTTATACTCGCCCTTAAACATTAAAAGTTTTATCGTATTGTTAAAATTTTACGCAATATTCTTTAATACTCTGGTGAAAATAAGAAAAATTATGTTTCTCATTGTAAAAATTAAACTTTTTAGGAAAAAAATTATCCTAAATTTTATTCTGAATGTGCTCACAATTATTCTAACCTTTTCATTAGACCCGATTATAAAGCAGTTTCCATTGTAGGAATTTAGATGGGTTGATTGATTGATTGAATATTAACGTCGCACTGCTCAGCTACACGAGGGCTTTTGGCGACGGACCATGTAATTTTGAACCATGGTCAAGTGACGTGGACGACACCTGAGCTGGCACCCCCTCTCCTAACTACCACACCACACCAACGGGAGGACATTTCAGCTCTCGACAGATTTAACGTGCATCGCTGCCCTACACGGCGGGTCTTTAGTGGTGCTGGGCTCGAACTCGTGACAAGGCAAGCCACGATCCGATACCTATACCACTCGGCTACCACAGCCACGGAATTAAGATGGGAATAGAGTGATTAAAAAAGTGCCTTATAGACTATCAGACATTAGCTTGAAAGGAAACACAATAAAAAACTAAGCTTATGAACTGACAGACAGAATTTTTAATGTATTAAATATAGAGTATTTAAATCTTTTCATTTACACGAATTCATCATTTATGTAACAAATATATCGTCTTTAATAACAAATTAAAAACCAAACGCCTATTTTGAATTTCAATGTCCAATCTCTATATTCTGATGACAAATATATTCCATTAACGTATCTGAATTTAAGCCAGCAGATAATTGCTACAGTACTACTATGGTATTAAGTAAATAAAACGACAATTAATTCTAAAAAGTAAAATTAAAAACAAATTTATATACATAAAATTTGTGACAAATCAAAACAGTGGTGCAGGACAAAGAGGGGTACAGAAATGTACAAAAGTTTAACATGTCCGACCAAACACATTAAAATGACAAATTTCGAACAAAACACACATTTAAAAAAAAAATTACTAAATAGAGACATTTTTCGGCTATAAAAAACATATATTGCTTTGTTTATACGTCACATTGTAGATAAGTTACAATGAATTACATAAAAAATTAAGAAACCGAAAGTGGGTTTTTAATCTTTCAGAAATGGGCAATTGGATTGATCAAAATCAATCACGGCGAGTCTAATAACCCCAAATAATAAGAATGTATTTCTGTGAAACTTTTTGAACCCCCTGATATTTATATTATTTTCTAGTACGAATGCACTAGAATAATTTTTACTCTATCAATATATTTTTAATTATGATCTGTTATTTCAAAAATAGCCATATGAATATGTTGTATCTTATAACATTTATTCAAACAAATCTAAAATTTTGATATTTTAATAAAATATTACAGTTGTAGAACACATTCCGTAGATAAATATATGCAGTTAATTTTAAATTATACTCTTATCGATATAAATACATTACATTTTTTTTGCGACTGCTTTAAATGTTTTTTTTAAAAAAATTGCTAAAATTATACTTATAATTATGATTTTTGCAAAATCTTTGTAATTTATTTCAACTCTTCCTGTATATATATAGGCTTAAGTATTAATATTTATTGGTGTGGATCTCTATCAAAAAAGTATTTATAATGCATTATTATGCTACTTAAAAAACACTCTGAACCTGTTCGGATACCTTGAGATATCAAAACCTTCCCCTTTAGTTTTAGAAAATTAAAATACGGTTAGAAATAATATTAAAAAATTTGGTACTAAAATCAGTTTTTTGTATAAGTTAAATCCCCATTATCCAAGGGTTTCAAATTATTTACTAATTTACCTACTTCTTGTGTATATATATTTAAAAATGACTTGGGCGTAAATGTTTTAGGAGTCAGTCAATAAACTTAGACCACTTAAATAGGAACACGGAAGAAACACCTTTTTTCAATCCAAGATCATCATTTTCCTCTTAGGTTCCAAAGCAATTTACATCTTAACCCATTCAGAAATAATTTAAACTCCCACTGTTTTGGCTGCTTTTAAAAGATTTCCAATAGAAATATGTCGGTGGAAACTTAAGAGGGCAGCAAATAATCAATACGCACCACCGGAAAGGCAACAAATTCCCTTCTCTGGAACGTTTATTAAGAGAAAAATTGACTCAACAATGATTAATAGGAATCTTTCGAAAAACCATCGTGATAAATCTTTACAAAACAAAAGAATGGAGCTAATTTATTAGGTATTTTTTCGCCGAAGCTTCTCATCTGTGGGAGTCTTGAATTCCTTGTCAGATATCAATTCACTTCCATGTAAAGGGAATCGATAGCTCTCCACATCTCTATCTAAATGATTAAAGAGGACTTGAAGGGGATTTGCTTTGTTGGGGATCAGCAGTTGACACACATTCCCAGTTGAAATCAATTGCACTTGAGCTTAAGTATGGCTGTAGAGATAATGAATTGGATTGGAATGATTTAAAAATGGTATGTAGCGATAATTCACTTAGAAACGGAAGCGGTATTCAATAGATTTGGATGATGGTAGAAATTGCTTGTAATTTGCAAATAAATATTGGTTTAATACTTACATGTTTTTGCAGTAAGGCTCCACTCAATTTTCAGTCTGCAGAATAATGCTAAGCTTAACCCTTAACTTCCCAATTTTTTAAATTTCTATGAAAAAATTATATCAGCTAGCTTTCAAGTAATAATAAAAGGGGAAAATATATATAAAAAAATTAAATTAATTAATTAATTTTTTAAATTTCAGTCATTTTTGATGTTTGTTGCAGAAGTGTAACATTGCGTAGTAGTGCTGTAAATTAGAAAATTTTTTTTTTATATGAGGATTTTATTATTCATCATAAAATGTTTAAATTTCTTACCTGGTAATTTATATCGTCAATAAACAAGAGGAAGCATAAAATATAATAGGTTCTTTTTATAGCAAAGACACAGTTCTGGAGGCATCAAAGATTTTTATAATTGTTGTGATTTCTGGTAAAAAAATGTACTTCCATCTAGTGACAAAATTAGCCTGTATTTCATTGCAGTAATATTTTTTCTAAGATAAGTGATTTGTAGGTAATTTAAAAAAAAATATTGAGTCTGTTAAATTAAAATAAATCATATGTTGCAGAATGCAACAGTGGGAAGTTAAGGGTTATGTTGTTTCTGAAGTTATAGATTAGGGGTGGTGAACCTATATGGATCAACGTGCCATTTTTTTCTAAAGAAATGTTTAATGAGGTATAGACGTGCCTTCAAATAATTTTGAATTGTGATTATTGGGAAAATATTAAAATAAAATGCTAACAACTCAAAACTCTTTATTTACTACAAAAAAAAAATACATTCTGCACTGTATAGTAATAAATGTTATAGTAAAACGTGAAATTCAAATTATAGTAACTTTAGTGTGACTTCTGTTGTTGCAGATTAGATGACAAATAATTTATATTAGGATTATAAGATGTTACTTTTAGCACAATGCATGCTGAATTGAAGTCATCTGCCAAACGGTTTCTAAGTAAGTCTTTAAAGTTATTCCATCTATGGAAATAATGACTTAACAAGAATAGGTAGATAAAGATATGGTTAAAATGGCATAAGCCAGCTTCTTCAAACAGTTAAATGTGTCTGGAATTAAATTCCCACCACCAGGGGCGTAACGGATAGTATTAGGTCCCCTCCCCCTGCAAAGTCATGTTTTGGGCCTAAAACCAAGTCTTACTAAGAATTACAAAACCATAACCCTTAGGCCTCCTAGAGTCCTGCCCTCTCCCCAGAATGCGGAGATTGTGGGGAGGGGGATGTACGTTACGCCACTGCCCGCCATCCCGCTACCGATCACTCTCGTTTGTTTGTAATATTTCATAATGAACTTTGTTATTTTGAACGGTTGAGCGCCCAAAATATTGTGTCGCGTACACTTGGTTCGCCATCTCTGTTATAGGCTGTTATTGTAATACAGTAAAATGACTCCAAAATGATTTGATACCTTCTTTTTCAATGCATACTATTCGTTTACAGTATCCCTATATATATTTCTTTATACAGTAAGACCCCGCTTAACGCGGGGGATACGTTCCATCAAAGTAGAGCGTAATGCGAAACAGCGCGAAACGAGGCTATCTTAACTTGTAAATAATGGGGTTAGAGGAAGATGGATAGAAAATTGGTTAGGTATTAAATTTAATAATTATGTTTTTTTTAATAAAAATAAAACCAAACATTTATTTCTTACAAAAATAAAAACAATATAAACGAATATATACATATAAAAACAAATAAAATTCTAAGTCAGTCAAATCATTCATTCTGCTCTGTGTTTCCAATTTTCTGCCTTTTTTTCAAGAAGGCATCTTGTTGAAGTTGCCAAATTCAATGCAGCACTAATTTGAGATTGACGTTCACCAGAATCTAATCTTCTAATCACTTGCATTTTAGTTTCCAGTGAAATGCTTTTTCTAGTTGCTTACTTTTATAGTTTTTCATTATCACCCATGATAAAAACTAAAGATCATAATATTTGTCACTGCATTAATCGTTATAGTATTATATAAATTTATACTTACAATAATGTCAACAAATGTTTCAAATGATAAAAATGCATCCGTGCAGCACCGCACCAAACCGGAAACACAACTACACTATTTCGGATATGTTATGTATATATTTTGTGAAACCTATAATTTCGGGGAATCCCCAGGTTGAAATAAAAGAGCGCTAAACCGCGCGAAACAGCGTTAAGCGGGGTCTTACTGTATATGTATATATATATCTTGATCAAATTTTCAATAGTTAATAAAATACTTTTTATTCCTCCACTGAAGTTTAAATACATTATTTTAAACTTGTAGTGGATGACACTTGATGTTAATACAGTTTCTTCAAATATTAATTCATTAGAAATTTAATTATTGAATAAATAATAACAAACAAAAATAATAGTTCAACACCATATATAAAAATGAAAATCACTCGTTATGGCCCTTTAACGCAATGAATAAATAGCGTGTTGGACTTCTAATCCAAAGGTCATGGGCTCAAATCCTACATGGGATGGCTTAATTTTTGAAAATGTGATTCGAATCCTTCGAAAGATTCTGCCTGTTAATTGTGAGTACATTCCCTATTTTTGAAAGATGATCCATCGCGTTACAGTATGCACTAAAGCAAGTATAGAAGTTAGAAAAATTGGAAAAAATAATAAATTTGGTTTTATATTACAGCTAGAATTACTTCAACAAATTAATGAAATGAATGCATACTTTAAATTGCATTGATTCACTTTTAAGCTTCCTCGGAAATTTAATACTACGTGCATTCAAATAAATTCATAAATTAAATTTCTGCTCATGAATTCAACAGAATCTTTATGATGGAAGAATGAAACATGTAATTTAAAGATTTTCATATATATTGTAACTATATATGTATATATTGTATTGTGTAATTTCATGAACTGTTATAGGATTTGATATATTGTTACAATGTGTTTCATTTAATAACGTGTAAGCTAAAAAATACTTAAGCTTTTCCTTTAAACTTTTCTTGAAATCTCATTTGAGAAAATGTTGGGAAATATTTGAACGAAAGATTTTTGATAACGATAATAAAAAAAAGATTGTGAGATAAAACAATTTCAAACACTAAATTTCGACAGTAGCTTCTATTTTTATGCGTATTCCATGCATATATATTTAACATTTTAACTATATGGAAAAATGAATTATATAGTTAAAAGATATGCTATATATCAAAAATTTCGTGAAACATAGAATCTAATACTATTTGTTCAATTGATGAAGTATATGCTTACAATATATTTTTCTTTTAATATAATTGCTAGAGTATTCATTTAAATAAAAGAAAATACTTTCATTTAACTTCACTTCAGAGAAAATCAAAGTTTAATAAACATATACTAAATAAAAAAGTAAGCTTATAAATGAAAACTAGAAACACTCGTGTGAATCGTGTTAATATAAAATGTATTTGACGTTATAAAGACGAGACACTTTTTAATAAATTTCAATAAGCTAGAAAAGTTGTAATAAACATTAAAATCCTTCTTACATGTGTGTAAAAAAAATGTGAGTTAAAAATGTTGAAAATCCAGGAATGTGATGATTCAAAGTCATGTGTAAACCTGACTGAATGTATTTAACCCTTACATCAATACAAAAAGGAATAGGTATCGCTTTAAGGTATCCGGCTACGTTCGGAACCATGATTTTTATGATATTGAGTGTCACTTAGATTAGAAAATGTAAAAACAGTTTTAAGAACAGTATTACAATAAAAAATTATTTAAGTACATTATTTCGGCTAAAAATGAACTTAGAATAAACGTTTTTCAAAATGCTCTCATTTTGTGAAAAATGCTTCCATTATAATAATATTTTGCCTGTATATCGCTCAGACCTCTGTACAGAAGCTCAACTAGAATTTTTGAAATATATAACTTAGAAGTGGGTTTATCCGTGTTTTACGACAACAGAGGGGAGAAATTTTAAGAAAAAAAACCGGATAATTATTTCAAATGATTGTAACTGAAAATAATGTGATTTTTTCAAAAATTATAGTTGGGCCTCTGTAGAGAGGTCTGAGCTATAGACAGGCAAAATATTAATACAATAGAAGCATTTTTTACAAAAGGAGAACATTTGGAGAAAAGGTTATTTTAAGTTAATTTTTTGTCAAAATATTGTATTTAAATAATTTTTTGTCACAATGTCCTTAAAACAATTTTATACATGTATTCTAATCTAAGTGACACTAAATATCATGAAAATTATCCATTTATGCGCTTTTTTAAAATCACGGTTCCGATCGTAGTCGGATACCTTAAAATGACTATATCTAATCAGCCTAGTTGCTGCTGGTCTTAGAATTAGGATTAGACAGAAAGTCTCTGAGTCCACTAGGGGACATTGTTGGATCCGTTACATGTGTGGTTTTTTAGTTTAATTTACTTACACGTAAAATAAATAAAAATAACGATAAAAACATGTGTAGTTTTCTTGGGATCAATGTTTCAATTCAATTTGAATAAATGTGTAGTTTTATCACGCATTTTTATTTTCCTTGGTTCAAATATGTTTTACTCTTGCACAAAATTGTACCTAACAAATAACATGAAACACGTAAGAAAACACTTAAATATATTGTTACGAATTTTGTGTAAAGAGTACTAAAAATAGTGTAAATAATTTGTATCTAGATGTGTAATACGTTTATATGTTGTATTTATTTTATGTTAAAACTGTAATATTCTCAAGCAATGCCGTTCCTTACATTATAATGGCAATTTAATGAAAACTTGTCGTAAGCTTGGCGATAGAGCCAAGTTGGCATCATTTTTGGTGACCATCTAGGTGACTTGGCAATCATGTTGGCGACTATTTTTGGGAAGTTGGTGACCATAGGGATTCTTCTGGAAATTACAGGAGAAATCTACTAATGTCACGCGAGAGGATTTTTCTCGAAAAATCCTTGCGATGTATAAATAAGGAATGGCTCGCCGAAACAGAGAGAGAGAGAGAGAGTCTTGTTTTGACCGTTGAAGAAGAATGTTAATTTGCCCGTGAAGAGTTGTCCAGCGATTAATTATAACTGCGGCTGTTGTGTGGGACGAGAGAGTGCTTGTGAACTTATATTTTAGACACTGCTAGTTGTGTGTATGAGTGCTGTTGAAGGTGTGAAGACCTTTTGAGATTTATACTGCAATTTTTTTGCAGTGTATCCTGTATTTTAAAAATTGTTTTTCGACAATAACTTCCATCACTCCTAAAGAACTGCTTTGCTCTTTAAAACTGATTTCATAAAATCCTCGAACTCCGATCTACATAACAATATTATTGCATGACACAATAAATTGGAATAAGTAATAAAAATAAGAATACAGCCTCGAAAGTTTTAACATTGACTCCAGTTTATTCGAAAATTTTTACTTTTTCTAAAGGATTTCTTAATTGCGTTTGGCATACATTCTATTATAACATGTATAAGAAATTGAAGATAATGGTATAATTAAATACGACAATTACCAGTCTTAAAGAGAGGGGAAAGGATCCTGTTAGCATTTATAGAGTTAAAACTATGTACTTTTTTTGCATAAAGTGTTTAAAAGATCGCATTGTTTTTACGTAATACGTTGGAAATGGTTTGACATTTACTGAAATTAGCTAATACTGTATAATTAATTATAAAAAAACAGCAATAATCGTATATATTCCAGTCGTTTTGACAATCGTTATATTTAAGATAATTGTTTGCTTAAATATGCATAATTTCATTGCTGTTTCTAATGTCACCCAATAAACGGTGCTAGATAGACGCAAACAAAATTCATCATGACAAGGGGCTAGTTTTACGTCTGTCGTTAGCCGCAGTTTTGAGCACATCGCAGATGACAGTACGTTTTGACTCGTTTCCACCACAATATTGTTGGAGAACTCTTCGGGGGTGGTCAGGAAATATCCCACCTATCTTCTCCTACCATCAACCACTCGCTAGACGAATATTCCTGTCCCCCTGCCACACAGGTACTATACTTTTGCAAACTCCCATGCCTCTCCGAGATTCATACCCAGGTCACATTGCACTGCAGTCAGCAAAATACATTTACATTATGTTACATGCATAATTGTTCATAATGTGATTTATAGTTAGACTAATTGAAGATTTTTGGAATAAGTTTTAAACTCCGTATAATTATGAGGAAGCCATGCTCAAAGCTGTAAAATGTATTAAAATAACCATTTACATCAGTGTTTCTCAAACTTTCAATACTTGCGACCCAATATTCAATCATAATTTTCCTCGCACCCCCCTCCATACAATAACAATGCATTGAATTCAATAATACTATACTTTGACTCTAAAGCTACAATACTACTTTAACCTCTAAAGTACCACCGAAGTATATTCGTACGCTCAGCCAAAGCCTTAATTACCCCGGACGTATATATACGTATTTCCGAAGTACGATCTTTTCTGTGCACTGCCATCCATAAAATTATTCCGAAGGCTTTGGAATGCTTTAAAAGGACTTAACAGTGTTTGCGAAGGATTTACTTCAAAAGATTTGCCTATTTATTCCTTTTCTCCCTCTCCATGCATCACATACACGCGTTTACGTGGAAAACGATGGCATTGGGGAGCGCGCGAATCGGGTAACTTTTAATCGGCAGTTAAGTTATTAATTATAAAGCGTACGAATTATCAAGCTGAGTGTTAATTTTTGAGTATAATTTTATATACGATAAGCCCACGGAGTTATTAATAATTTTTAAGTTTGTTCTTAACTTGCTATATTAAAATTAATTGTCAAATACATTGCGCAGTACTGATACATTTATAAGTGTATTGTATCAGTGTAAATGTGTATTACATTTTTTTTTATGTCAGAATGTGTTTTGTTTGTTTACGTTTAGTAAATTAATATATTTTTTTAAAAATAATTTTTAGTTTTCGAGTTTTTAATATGCTTGCGCCCCCTCGTAGAGTTATCCCGCCCCCTCAGGGGGTGCACCCCACAGTTTGAGAAACGCTGATTTACATGAAAAAGAAATATGTTGTTGTGTATTAGGACGGTGATTTCATTTTTTGATCGAAGAAACTATTTCTGTTTTCTTTCATTTTGCCTATTCTACTGAACTGAGCCATTTCATCAAATATCGTACCTATCTATTCAGCTTCTCATTGGTCAAATGTCCTTTCATCTAATAGAGCTAATCGTCCGATTCGGCTCGCCTGATGCCAATGAGTCTAGAAGAATCGTTTATCTAATGACTCGATTTGTTGTGTGCCAATGGATTTCCTGCATTATGTACTCTGTCATGTTTATTAGCTGTAAGATGATCAAAAGTTGACAGGTGGATATTTCGTGGTAACTACGTGAGGAAAATTCATGCAGATTATTTTTTCAGAACATGCAAATTTTTTTTGTATATAGTATTTTTTTACTGTTTATTGCTCAACTAGTATATTCGAATATTTGATTAATTTCGGGAAGAGGGCTTATATTCTTTACACGCTCTAAATTTTACTGCTCTTCA